TGGATGGAGATGGGTCATCGGCGGTCAACGTGCGTTGAGGAAGACTCAACTGGAAGAGGTCGATCCCAGTCTGGACCAATGGCGTCACCAGAGAGTCTCCGCCTACTCAACCACCGATGATTACCGTAGGTCAGGAACAGGCCAATCAGAGGAAAAGCAAGCTCGACTCAGCCAACCGCCGTTGGTCACGCCAGGTCTTGACCCGCCCAACCGGGAAGACGCAAAGCCAACCTTGGTCAATCCAGGTCTTGAAGGAGCCAAACAGGAAGAGACCAAGGTCTGGGCTGAGCCAACCACGATGACCCACCTAGGCCTAGAAGAACCCAACCGAAGCCAAACCCAACAACCAATCACAGTCTTGATCAAAGCAACCAACAATGGCCAAATTAAGTCTTTGGCCCGGGCCAATCGGAAGAGGCCAGTCCGGATCTGCTCCAGCCCAGCCACCAATGGTTGACTCTAGATCTGGATCTGGCCAAGCGTTAACGGTCGACCCTGGTCTTGACCAACTCAAGGCAAATCTCGGACAACTTGAGCCAATCCCTACACAGCCCAACAGCAATTGGCCGATCCGGGCGTGGTCCGACCCCGCTCTTGATGACCAACCCCAGGTCTGGACAGAGCAAGCCCCAAAGGTCAACCGAGGTCTATAACGAGCCAATGAGACAAGGCCAACCCAAATCTGGTCTAACTCAACCTGATGGTCAACCTAGGTCAAGACCAACTTGGCCAATCCCTACCCAGGACCACCGGAATGGGCTGAGCCGAGGTCTACAACGAGCCAATGAGACAAGGCCAACCCAAATCTGGTCTAACTCAACCTGATGGTCAACCTAGGTCAAGACCAACTTGGCCAATCCCTACCCAGGACCACCGGAATGGGCCGAGCCAAGTCTTGTCCAACCCCAACGCCGATCACCGACCCCAGGTCTGGACCACCAACGGTCAACCAAAGCCTGCAAGAAGACCAACCCAACGATTGGTCAATTCGAATCAAGATCCAACTTGACCAATCCCTACACAGACCAATCGGAAGAGGCCGAAAAAGGATCCGGCTAAGACCGGCCAAGGTGAGCGTGACCTCATCTCCCAACGTCCCCACCTCACCCTGCTCCAACCACGGCTGATCCGTGCCCGGGGCCAACCGGAGGAGGCCAAGCCAACGCCGCCCAAGCCGTGCCGGCGCCGAG